GAACCTCTTCTAACCGGTTCGGTAGATTTCACGAACCGGTTCTACCGAATAGGTGCAAACTGGTAGGAACCCACCTCTGGAAGGAGCCCACCAATTACTAAAAAATAAAATAATAGCGTTGGAAGGGACTTTGGAGATCTTCTAGTCCAATGCCCTACTCAAGCAGAAGACCCTATGTCATTTCAGACAAATGGCTGTCCAATCTCTTTTCGAAAACCTCCAGTGATGGAGCAACCACAACTTCTGTAGGCAAGCTGTTCCACTGATTAATTATTCCCCCATCAGGAAATTTCTCCTTAGTTCTTAGATTGGCTCTCCTTTTAATTATCTTCCACCCATTACTTCTTCATATGCTTGACCCCTTCATGTGCTTGATTTCCTCTCTATGATAGCTTCTCAAGTACTAGAAGACTGCTATCATATCACCTGTAGACTTTCACTTCAGTAGACTAGACATACATAGTTCCTTCAATTGTTCATTATGTGGTTTAGCCTCCAAGCCCCTTATCATCTTTCCTCTTTCCTCATTCTTGCACTCTTTCTAGGGTGTCAACATCTTTTTTGTACTTTGGTGACCAAAACTGGATGCACTCTGCAGACCTCTCAAAAATGGCCCATTTTTCATGAAAACAGGCCCCTTTTTAAAAAAATGGCATGCATAGCTTTTAGGAGGCTTTCAGAGTGCTCCTGGGGACTGGTGGGGGGGAGGCAAAATTGAGCAAAAACCCAGCCCCCAGGAGCACCCTGAAAGCCTCCTTAAGCCTATGCATGGCCATTTTGGTGAAATGTATGGGGTTTCAGGAGGCAAAAAAAAATCTGTATTCAGTGTATAAGACACACCCAGATTTTCAGCCTCTTTTTTGAGGGAAAAGGGTGCATCTTATACTCCGAAATCTGGGTGCATCTTATACAAGGAATACATCATATTTTGCTTTCTGAAACCCTGCCCCCTTCACCAAAATGGCCATGCATAGCCTTTAGGAGGCTTCCAGAGTGGTCCTGGGGGCTGGGGAGGGCAGAAATGAATGAAAAACGGGCCTTTTTTGCTCAATTTTTCCCCCCGCCCCCAGGACCCCTCTACAAGCTCCTAAAGGCTATTCATGCCCCTTTTGGGAAAAAAATGGGCCCATTTTCGTGAAAAATGGGCCATTTTTGGGAAGTCTGCAGAGTGCAAAAACTTTTTAAAAAATTTGCCTCTTCAAAATCTTGGCGTGTCTTATATTCCGGTGCATTTTAATACTTCAAAAGATATGGTAAATCTAGTGTGTGTGTGTGTATGTGTGTGTATAAGTTTAGCTAATAAATACAATTTTTTCACTTATAAATTAAGAATTCATGTTAGATATGAATTAGATTCATATTAGAATTCATGTTTGCTTCCTCTTTCTAGGTTGATTTTGACTTGGAGTCACTGTCTGAAAGAAAAGAAGAGGAAAAGGAAGAGCTAATGGAATGGTGGAAGATGATGTCAGAAACTTTAAATTTTTAAGCGGAAGTTCAGAATTCACATCTTTTAATCTACTATCTGTTCATTTAGTGTAATGTACTGTGAAAAGTCCCTACATTTTAGATTTTGTGTAACTCATAATATGTAACTTTGGGGTGGGCTGAGTAATTTTTTTTAATACCAATAACATATTCTCCATAAAAGTATATTGCTGGAACCTTTTATGTCATTTTCGCTGTCCTACATATTCAACTTGAAGGGCAAATGCCCACAAAAATATGTCCTTCCTCTAAAGTGACTGTGAATTCGAGTGTTTTACTATCCTAAATATGCAGGTTAAGTACTTTAAAAAGCTGTAATAATTAGTAGTCACTTACAACAACTGCCACAAATATTTGTCCATACAGGTAAACCTAATTAGTTTAAAAAAAAAAAAAAACCTAACTCATAACGGCACTGAAAATATATGTGATAAGAATTTAGTGTTGTACATAACAATTAAAAAACTTTTTCTGTGGAAGAGCCATACAAAATAAGAATCCAAGTACTTGGGTATAACATATACTATTCATATGGAAATGGCTTCCATTGTTCTTAAGAAAAAATTGTACATTTTTTTTCTCTTGTGTTCATTAATGTTCCTAAGTAACGTGGTAATCAGATTAAAAATTCTGGATGGATAAACAGTTAGCATATAGTAAGTGTATATTACTTCTTTCTTGTGCTTGCAATACATTATTTGTGTTATCCTGTTTTTCAGAAACTGTATGCATTAAGTATACATGGTTTTCGTAAGAAAGCTTCCATATTCTTTGTATGAAGAAGAGAAAGTTCCTCCCATAACTGATCCCTCAGCTGCTTCCTTTAATATGGATTGTAAAATCATACTCTTAAAAATCAAAAATGTAAACATGTTTTCTATGAGAAGCAATTTCTCTAGGTTCAGTGGAATTTATTTCCTGGTCACCCATCTTGAATTCCACCATTGCTAAACACGGTCACTTGGATTGTAAGGGTACTTCCTCTGAAATAGAGAAATTTCCAGATGAACCATGGTTGTTTAACTTGACACTAGCACTTAGGGGAGCAACCTGCTTTTCATTGTAAACCAGCTTACGGAGGATAGCAGGATCAGCCTAAATGGTGAAATTCATTTTGCCAAAATAAACGAATATCTGACGTTTCTTGTGCAATATTTTAAATTTGGTTCCTCAAAAGTGTTTTAAGATGGGTGGAAGCTCAAATTTACTGCAACATTTTAAGTAGCTATGTCTTATCTGGGGAGTTTGTGGCATAGCTGCTTTAAGAAGCTCTTGTGTTCTGCCCTGCTCTGAAGCAATTCCGGCCCTAGTATTTTAGTAGCTTTTCAGCACTGCTTGTCACCGGCTCCTCCCACAATTATGCTATTGGTAGATGACACCTGTCCTTGTTTTAAATTACGTACATACTGTAAGTATGTGAGAGGGATCTTGGAGTCCTAGTGGACAACCATTTAAATAAGAGCCAGCCGTGTGCAGCAGCTGCCCCAAAAGCCAACACGGTTCTAGGCTGCATAAACAGAGGGATAGAATCAAGATCACGTGAAGTGTTAATACCACTTTATAAGGCCTTGGTATGGCCACACTTGGAATACTGCATTCAGTTTTGGTCACCACGATGTAGAAAAGATGTGGAGACTCTAGAAAGAGTGCAGAGAAGAGCAACAAAGATGATTAGGGGACTGGAGGCTAAAACATATGAAGAATGGTTGCAGAAACTGGTTATGTCTAGTTTAATGAAAAGAGGGACTAGGGGAGACAGGATAGCAGTGTTCCAATATCTCAGGGGTTGCCACAAAGAAGAGGGAGTCAAACTATTCTCTAAAGCACCTGAGGGCAGGACAAGAAGCAATGGGTGGAAACTAATTAAGGAGAGAAGCAACTTAGAGGTGTGGAGAAATTTCCTGACAGTTAGAACAATTAATCAGTGGAACAACTTGCCTCCAGAAGTTGTGAATGCTCCAACACTGGAAGTCTTTAAGAAGATATTGGATAGCCATCTGTCTGAAATGGTATAGGGTTTCCTGCCTAGGCAGGGGGTTGGACTAGAAGACCTCCAAGGTCCCTTCCAACTCTGCTATTGTATTGTATTGTAAGTGAGCAGCAATGGAATTTAAAGTCACACTTTTACCCAATATGCTTCATACCTGAAACATCCCTAGAAGAAAAGTGAAGAGAATGAAAAGTTCTTTCTTCGCATACTCTGGATTCTTAGTCTCTGGTGTCTCTAGGATTTTAGGTAGCATAGTAGTAAAAGGTTCCCTGGAAAACTACTCAGTACAAATGACCAAAGTGTGACATCAACTGGACTTTCTGGATTATCTGTAAAAGGTTTGTTGAATTGCTAAAATATACAAGGCTGTAAAATAGTTTTATGGTGTAAGGAATTCAGTGTTTGGTTTTAAAAGGCACAAATTATCTTACAATTAAAAAGTCTATTTAACCCTTTGCTTTCAATTTATCAGATGGCTTGAGATATTTTATAGAACAGTTTTGTGCCCCTTCTTTTCCCCCCCTCTTGATACAGGGCTTAAGGTCAATGGAAATATAGGGCAATAGCAATAGCAATAAGACTTATATACCGCTTCATAGGGCTTTCAGCCCTCTCTAAGCGGTTTACAGAGTCAGCATATTGCCCCCACAGTCTGGGTCCTCATTTCACCCACCTCGGAAGGATGGAAGGCTGAGTCAACCTTGAGCCGGTGAGATTTGAACCACCAAACTGCAGATAGCAGTCAGCTGAAGTGGCTTGCAGTACTGCACTCTAACCATTGTGCCACCTCGGCTCGCAGAGGTGCGTTGCTCCTGGTTCGGTTCAGTTCAGCCAAACTGGTAGTGGAATTCAGGCCTGGGTCACAGAACCGGCAGCAACCCAGGCCTGCCACACCCCCGAACTGGTTCCCTCACTGCTGCTGGGCTGCCGCCAATTTAGTTTTTAGTGACTGCGCGTGCACAGTTCATTGTAAATTGTTCTGCCAATGCGCGAAGAACAATTTACATAGAACAGCACATGTGCACGCAGGTTGCAAACTGGTAACAAAACCGTAAGCAACCCACCCCTGATATAGGGGTTTGTCATGCTCAGAAGGAATTATTTTCTCTCCGATGTGCATCATTTGGCATTCTTAAATATTGAAGTATTAAATATCTTGAAGTTACAGGAATGCATACATTAGTCATATCTGCGTAGCACATTTAGGCCTCTGGGACTGGATCAGCTAAACTCTAAACAAGAACTGAAAACTGAGTAATTATAATGAAATATGTAACCAAAGCAAACCTCTTATATAAACATCACTGGTTATAAATAAATGTATCAAAGAATGAAGCAATTAATACCAGAAATTGAGGGTTGTCATAAATAAAACCTTTCAAAAGACCCTTTGCCAAAACAGGGAAGTCATTTGAAGTTACCAATACTCAAGAAAGGAATATTAGAATTCTTTTTACCTATATCCTTCATGTTGAATATTAACTCAGCAGGGCCACTGCCAAGAAAAAAAACCATGATTCTTGCTTTTCTGTGGGTCAAAAATGTTTTGCAAATCAGAGTTCTAGAATTAATCTGCACAATAGCAGTACACATTATCTGTACTCTTCCAATTAATACAACTGAATGGATGGAGAGATATACATGGACTCCCTGATTTCAACAAGTTATCTTTCTGCCTCAGTTTGCCAAATGTAGAATGGGATTGACCACATTCATTTTAATAGGAATTTGACAATTGCTGGGATAAAGTTTTAGCTTTAACAAAGCAATTTAAAAACAATATTTAATAGTAATTACCAATATTTTAATCTACAACCTACAGTGTTTAATTTGCTCTGAAATTTTCCTAATAAAGGTGTTGTGATCATTCCAACACAAATAACACATAAGCTACTTTTCTATGAACATCGTCAAAATGATTATTGAACATGGCACCTTCTTAAAAACCCTCAGCTATAATTCCTCCCAAGAAAACACAACATCCATGAACAAGTACTTCCACATTTGAGGCCTCCTCATTCCTCATAGTTGCCATTGTGGGAAAGGGAGGCCCCATAAAGATCAGATGTTTGACAAGTTATAGCAGTGCATTTCCAGGCTCCAATCACTCTCAATAGTTTTGAAAAATCCATTGTCTGCAATCTTCAGATCTATCTACAAATGAAATTTCAAAATGCAATGGTTTTTCTCTTGTCTCTTATGCCTTTGAATCTCTCTTAGACTGCCTGGTACAATACTTTTACAAATTAACTTTGTGGCAATGATAATACTAAGCAGAAGAATTTATTTGCCTGATACGATTGCTCCACTGTGGCATTCAGAGGAGCTGCAGCTGCCTCTGTTCTACTTCTCAAGTGTACAGGGGGAAAAAACAGGCTTGGTTGAAGTGAAAGACTTTGCAATTTTAAATGGGGTTGAGTGTCTGAGGCTTTTGAGTATTTGGCTGTAATCATCAAGAACGGGAGCAGGGCTGGCTTGAGGAAGGGGGTCTTTAGGCAAAGGAGAAGGAGAAGTTTGAGAATTATGCTAAAGCAGGGGAAAGGGTGTGGAAAGAAGAGGTTTGTTCTCTTTTTATTTAAGTTTTAATTTTTTAATTTTTTTAACAATAAAAATATCAAATCAATGCGTGAACAGGGTGGCATCTAAACACCATACATTCCAACACAAACAAAACTAATCAAATTCAGAATTATTATTACATTCAATCAACTTATGAAAATCCCATTACAATACACATCTATATTAGGTTGCAATCTATCATTATACAATTATTCCGCCTATTTGTCATTATTATTTCCATTTTATCAACTAAAAATGTAATATTCCCTTTCTTTCTATCTCTTGCTTTAGATTTTAATCATATCACCTTATATTAAAGAAAACTTTTTCCTGTCTGACTTCTAATCTGCTTACAAGAAGAAAAAAAAAGAAAGAGAATAAAGAAGGAGAGATAGGGAGAGGTAGTTCAACACAGCAACCATGAGCAGGAATCATCCTCCCATCCTCTCTTGCCCGCTTTATATTTTAATTGCTATGCTTTTAAAACAAAAAGAGGAGTGGAGGGAAAAGCAAGTTAAAGCAGCCATAAAGAAAAAGAAAAAATGAAAAAAAAAATGATCCTAGCATTACTAAGTTTTGGAACTGTTGTCTTTGAGAACAGTTTGCTCAGTTTTAAATTATTCCATTTCAGTTTAGTTTTAGGAGAAGGGGTCGAGAACAGATCTGTTTATAAAGGGAAAGAACCTTTATCTCAATGATGGTGAGAGGGGTGATCCCATGGGTGCCCCTTCTATCTGTTTGTATCTTTGTCCATTATGGATGAAGTATGTGTTGGTTAGGCAGTGGTTGGTCAGGTCCAGGATGTGTTTATTTATATATATATACACATACATACATACATACATACATACATACATACATAC